ACAGAAGGCTGACTACTTGACCTTCAAGGCATACACCCAACTCTACAATTCCATGGCTTTGACTCAGGGAGGATGTAGGGTGAGCACTAGGGTGAAGAATGAAATAACCTCCATGCAGTAAAGAAAGGTCGATGGCACTCCAACGGCCGCTGCGTGCCAGGTTCTGTGCAAGGCTTGGGGCACTTGAGCAGAGCTGCTCATTCTTGCCTGAGTTCGATCCAGGCTCTGACTTCCTCCATACATGACCTAGCTCCACGCCCTCTCTGTGCCTCGGTTTTCCAAGGAAATGGGAAGCACAAGGAACAAAGGAATTGATAAATTATAATTGGGTCATTCAGGCTCCAAATACAGGTCACTGTCCTGTCATCGGAGCCCGGGGATAGTTGTCTGGAGTCCTGGGCTCATCCCTGTGGATGACACTCTTAATAATAATGACAACAATAGTGATAGTAATAATAATGATAAAGCATCCATTGAGCAAATACTATATGTCATATATTTCTAAGCATTTGACATATATTACCTTTTAAAATCTTTACCTCAAACCTATAAAGCAAGGACTATTAATATCCCTATTTTACAGCTGGAAATACTCAGGTATGCTAAATGGCTTGCCTGGGAGTGGTGGGCTGGATTTCAAACCCTGACAAGTTGACTCTAGAGTCCACGCTCTTAAACGCTTCGATGAACACTGCCTCTCGGGGCAGAAGGGGTGACCGTCTTGAAGGAAGAAGACCTTCCCACGTGTGTCCCTCTCCTTTTCTGGGCTCAGGAGCTCCATCTCCTGTGGAGCAAACAGATCTACAGTCACGTCGGTGAGTGTGCACGCACGAAGCCCGAGGACCGCCGACAGCTCCAGGTCTGTGTCTAACCTGGAGACAGAGCCACACGAAGCATAGTGCTGGCCTCAAGAAATTCGAGATGATACAGCACAAAGCTGAGCACAGTAGGAATAAAGTCGATGGCAGAGAGCTCAGAGTCAGGAGAGATGGCGGGGCTGGCGTACGTCCACAGATGGCCTTGAGGGCAAACAGGTGGAAGGCAGGGTACGGCATAATGGGTTAGTGTGAAAAGAAAGGGGAGAAATTAGATGGTGGTCGGGGGGAGGGGGTCACACACACCTACCGTGAATCAGACCCCATTCTAAGTCCCTGTTTTGGGGGACCTCAGTCGCGTTCTAGGTCATGGTGGTGAAGAAGACACAGTCCCTGCCCTCATGGAGCTTGCAATCACTGGCAAGGACCTTTGGGTTTCTCGCTGTTGATACTAAGCCTGGAAAGGTGGTTTGAGGCCAGAACTTCAGGTGCCTTCGACGCCTGGCCAAGGAGTTCAGAATTTTGCTCACCGACTGTGGGAGGCCGCCACGGAGATGGAGCAGGA